GAGTTATTTAGAGAATAAAAAATTATAATCATTTTTCACTTGATTATTGTAAGTGAATTCAGTTTTATAAGCTTTAAATTTGAAATTTCTTAATACATTGACTAAGAGATGATCATATTACTATACTCACTTCTATATAGACAATATTTTGGCTACACATCTGATCCTTGCTCTAAATCCTGTTTTATCTTTCCCAGTATAGCATATACTTGCACCTCTTCAGCTATCTTCTTGATATGCAATGGGACATTAGCATTGCATAAGTCATGCTTCTAAGCCATATTAAGAGTTCATCTCCATTTCAAATTTTAACTAGTCTCGCAAGGCCAATACCATAGTGGTTGTCATTGTAGTCTTGAGACCTTGGAAAATCCACTACGTGTTCATTCCAAAATAAGGAATTCTTCTTTAATTGTTGAGTCAATTATCATCAGATCGACCCATAATTTGCAAAATGATCAATGCCTTGGTGAAGGGGTAGCTCTATAGTTAGTTTGAACGCCTCTACCTATTTAGTCATGAGTTAATGTACTGTTGTTAATTGTGTTCTTGTGATTGTCACCTCAAATTATTGATGTTATGTACTTCAATGATGACTCTCTACTTTTTGTTGTAGTTCTCTAGTTAATGACTTCAAAAACATGGGAAATTTGGGCAAGCTTGGGTCTACTTCTAATACACTTTCATTGTTGTCCATAGTGTCCTCATATAATCTTGTCCATAGTGAGTTCAGTAGTTCCCAGCATGGTCAACTATTTCAAACTTTGGATCAGATCTATGCTGCCCAATGAGATAGATAGATAGATAGTCCTCAGCCATCCCTACATTTCGACGATGATGCATTTGCTTATCCATTCCCTTTGACCAACACTCTAATGCCCTTGACCACTTTCTAGTTGGTGGCTGACATCCAAATTTGTTTCAGTTCTTCACTTAACTTGCATGAAGTAAACTTATGGGTTGCCCCACAATTGATTTACGGAGTGTGAGTCTGCCCAGATCTCTAGTTTTAATCCTTTGATGAAACTACTCTCCAGCACTTACTCCATAAGTTCTTCCATATATGATGATGATAGAGTGAAATTTATTATGATGTAACTCAAAAATATATATATATATATATATATATATATATATATATATATATATATAAATATTACATCAAAATTTAAAATTTTCATATATTTAATTTACATTTTATGACAATCATTTTATGGGAAGAAATCAAGAATGTATGCTTGAAACCAAACATTTTAAGAATTTTCTACCATATTCTTCACATCTTCCTGATTTTTTGTCAATCTAACATATCAATTCAAGATTTGAAACCTCGAGAATTATTATAACTATGTCATTCAGTCCTTGGAAGTATCAAATCATCAATTAGAGACATGGAAGATCCCCTACATAAAGATTAGCAAAAGCCAATGAGAGACTAGAAGAGCAGAGAGAGAAATGAAAGAAATTACCAATAGTTGAGAAGTGAGCAAGACATATCATGAAGCTTCTGAAAGCTCAATCATATTATTAATGACTGTGGTTAAGATGGGGATAAAATCTTATTGGAGGAAATTATGCTGCACCGCCTTGGCACAAACAAAACCCACTGAAACTAGTTTTTTCACCAAATTTTGACTTATATTTTTGCACCAGTTGGAGCCTATATATCCCCCCAAACATGTTACGAACAGGGGAGAGGATTAGAGAGAGATTAATCACCCTTAATTTTTTCTTTCTCAACCAAGAGTCCTGATGAACAGGGCGTATATATATCCCTCATTTCTCTTTCAGTTTGCTGTATGTTTTGACTAAAAACTTTACCCGTGATTCTTGAAGTCGTTGGGAGACAGCTAAGGATTGAAGGAAGCCTTTAAACCTTTTCATACCTAAATTTTTACTCAACCAATTTCTTTTTGCACTCTTAAGATCTTCCAGGTGTTAGACAAGAGAAGACAAAGTTTTAGTGCAATTATTTGACTTCTGAATAAGTTTGGTGCTTTCTCTTTCAATTTCTTCGCTGCATGATTGCTGCCCTTGGGTGAGAACAGTCATACGATGGGGATCTAGTAATTTAAAACACATATTCTATATTTCTTTATTGATTTCATACATGTTTTCTCTCCTGCATTTGGTGTTCAACTTCTCGGTGACACCTTAGAAGTATTTCGCAAACCACTCTCATTTCGTACTCGTTTTGCTTCCTGTTTATTTCTTTTGATAGTAAACTCATTTATTAATCTTTAGAAAAAAAATTATATCTTTATATCTTAAAAAAAAATCAATTAAATTACTGAAGCTTCTGTCCCACTGACTAACTTTGTCAGGCAACCTTTTTACCTTCTTTTGATCGAATCTTTTATTTGCAAATAGCGAGGGATCTGATTCTCTGTTCCAATAGATTGTGAAACATCAGAATTCAGTCTGGATTCAAAGAGTTTGAATCAAACAACATTTCCAACAGTTTGGGTGGTTAACTAAGTGTTGGTCAACCTGTGAATAAATATTTACTCAAATTTTACTGTAAATAGTCCCCTGATGATCCGATTGTCTCCATCCTTGTGGATCAACCTGACAACCACTATTATTAATGATTAATTCGCAAGGAACTCGGCATATAGATATCTTAGTTTGAAAGCTTACCTTAAAATCACTAAGATGCACTAGTTGGCATAATTTCAAAATCACTCTTGAATTCTACCTACATCTTATGTTACTTGATATCCATAAACCGCTCACATCCACTTCTAGAGGTTTTAGTGACTATTCTACTTTTACATGTACTGAAGGTTTTGGTACTCAATTCTCATATTTGTTATTTAATTAAAGCCATGATTCATCTATCACGAAAATGCATGTACTTTTTGTACAAGAGGGAGAAAAATAATGAACATCGAAAGCCTATGAGGCCAAAATCTTAGTGACAGTTTGGAATTCTAATCACCATTTGAGTAATGAACAGTTTTTAGTGAATCCATTAAGACGTTTAATAAATAATAAAGGAATATCTTTTCATTGAAACAAACTGAAATCTCATGTGATTAATCATATTACTGATTTTACCATTTTGTTTTGGAAAATTAGTTGGACCCCAAAGTCTGAACAGGATCCTATCCTTTCATTCATCAAGAACAAATGAGATTGAGATCCGTCGAACATAGACTACTATCAAGCAGGAGCTCAGTTTTTCTCCTTTCATCGAGAACCCAATCACAGAATCAATCAGTCCAATAATCGTTCCTTCCATCTGAATGTACTATGCACTCATGCCTGCTCCAAAAAAAATAAAAAATAGTTGATAGCTGTAAATCAAGTATAAATCTTTAATGAATGAATGCTATGCTCATCAGTAACACATTATTAGCAATTGTTTGGTTGTTTTACTTGCAATTTATAGAGGGCTTTATTATTGGAAGTTCTAAGGGCCTAAAGCATCAAATGTAAGCAGACGATGAACTTGCATTTAGAGCAATTGGTCGTCAAAAATGATGACAAATGGTGAGCTCATTTCCACGTGGCCTTTAGCTAAATCTGTATCTCTTCTCTTTGAATGGTCATTGAGCAGCTAAATTCTACTTTCAATGGAATGACCCCTTACCATCCTTGGCTCTCAGGCATGGTAAGTTCTTGAATTTAGTAGGATATTCTCTAAAATGTCCAGATTTCTAATGGCTGGCTGATAGTCCTCTCAAATCAAGCCAGACAACATTGTGTTCTCGGTCAAGCTAAACCCGGTGGTAAGAGGAGTTTCTTTCTAGCCAGACAACATCTGTTTCCTTTGAAGTTACTCACAAGTGATCCTCGGTGAGAGTCTTCACAAGAAAAATGTGGGCCAGAGCACGGCGGACTGTTGACAGTATAAGCCTCATAATTCAAATCAAGAAGTGAGATGAGTCTCTGAAGGTAGCCATGGAGGATCCACGAATGAACCACCATTCCCCCTTCCCTTTGGCGCAAGACAGACATGCCGGGGGAGTACTGACTTCCGGGAAGAAGATCAAGATTCGGTGGCTAGAGGACGATGCTCGAGGGTAGGTTATCCTGAAGATGAGGAGGAGCTGTATCCCTTACAAGGCTAGAGGAGGGTAGGCTTTTGACACCCTAGAGTGTAAGCCTCAACAAAGGTTGCATATCTCATCATCCATGACATTATTGTCTCTTACAAAGGCATTACTGGATACATTGTGTTCTCAATCATTGTACATGCACATGTGATATGTGTAGTCATTGTGTGAGCTAGTGTCCTCAACTGATGTGTGACCACCTATGTAGTAAACGCTTGTGGCGTCTTGATTGTTGAGGGCACCTATGGCGTGATCAACAAAGTGTAACAGTTGCTAGAACGAAGATTCTTAGCAGAAAAAAGTACTAGAATGTAAGCAGGCAAATATAAAATGATATTCTTAAAAGGAATATAGATTTAATAAACCCTGGGCTTTTTATGTTCATAAGAAAGCGATCTAAGGACTAACAATAGGAACACAAGGATGAGAATTGGATAAAAGGCAAAACCCTAGAGTGGGTGGGATGGGTAAGAGCAACTTTCAACCACCATCTCTCACTACAATGAAATTGCAAAAGACTCTCTAGACCTAAGGAAGTAATAATTTTAAGTAGATATGCAAAAAAAAAAAAAAAAAAAGGAAGCAATAATGTCTTATCAGAGCCCATTGAGTATCATTGTTTTAGCCACCTCTCCAAATGTCGCCCACTTCCTGTCCAAAGTCAGCGCATCAGGTCCTAGAGAAAAAAAAAAAAGCCTTCAGCAAAGCACCAAAGCCTCCTCCAGGACTGCAGAATCCAACCATGTTAGGCCACCATACAAGAGGAGGATAGAATCGAAGTCACAAAATATACAGCCTGCTCAAACGGGATGGCCCAGATATCATCATCCTTCTCCTCCACCAAAACTTTGATCTTTGATCAGCTAGCTACCTCTGCCATTTATACACGGAATCACTGCCTCATGAAGGTTTCCTGACTCGATCAGTCAAAGCGATCAGTCAAAGCTCATCGTGGGCCTCCGCACCCGGCGAGCCAGCACCAGACGGGTCTCCCGCTGCCTCTGGTTTTGAGTCCTCTGAGGCATCGGCACTCTGTTGCTGGTGCTGGTGCTGCTGCTGCTGCTGCTGCTGCTGCTGCTGCTCCTTCTGCGATTCCTCCTTGGCGGCTGGCTTCTCAATCTTTGGCCTCGGCTTCGGTATCCTGTTCACCCCCGCCACCTGTGTAGAAAGATGAATCTCTCCCCTGCTTCATGAAGGCACACGGAGGTGGTCGGACAAGGAGAGAAGGGGACGAGAGGCTTACCTTGCTCTGAAGACTTTGGGTTTTCTCATAAACCTCGGATGATGAGAAGGCGGGTGTTACAGAGGCAGGGGTCCTAGAGTGACACAAATATGAGTGATCCATATATACATATATTAAATATATGCATATGCGCAGATGATATGAAATCTATAAGTAAGATAATAGTACGCTTTCTGAAGGCTCTCCTTGACATCCAACCAGCTCCCGAGTCTTTCTGCCTCGCTGCGGACCTGCAGAATAGAGGTCAATGGTGAGCAACGGTGGAGGAGGACAACATTGAGCAACCAGTTCTCGGCTGAGAACGGAGGGGGAGAGAGAGGAGTATCATTCGTACCTCGTCCACTCTGGACTTTGGAAGCCACGGCTTGTTCTCCTCCCAATCACGGATGATCTACCAGGATGTTAAGGATGGGTGAGAAGAATAAACCAGACGTCACAAGATTGCACCTTTCTCGAGTAATACATAGGAGGGAAAGATCACTGCTGGGCTATATCTATTTACCTTCGGGATCTCACTGAGATAGCTTCGAGCGTGTTCACAGGCCACTGGTCGTGAGGAGAGCTCTGTCAGTCTGCAAGAAAGAGGTCTTTTTTAGTGGGGGGACTGGTCTTCTTCATTTCGGTGAAAAGAAAGGAAGGTGCACCACCTGAAGAATATTGGGTCCCCGATGGCTTTCAGGGAGTTGAGGCGGTCTTTGAATTCATCTGCTGGGGCGTCCTCGCCGTCCATATACAGCCATTCTTGCACCTAGACCAGCAGAAAATATTAAATCAGAGGATTTTCATTGGACGGATGCTGCCACCTGGCGTGAAACCAGTGATATCAAAGCTCCCTACCTCTTCAAGCCTCTCTGCAAAGGATTTTCGCTCCCGATCTGTAGAAACTTTCTCCAGCTCCGAAGTTTCGTCCATCTGCCAGCAGCAATAGAAAAAACAGGAAGTAAGACGACTGCTGAATCAAATGCTATTATGGGTCCTACTGATGATAGATGGTGGCACTGATGAATCAAATATGAGAAGCATTTCGGTATGTATATCTTCTCAAAGTCCGAAAAATATATACAATTCAGGGAACAAGACGTTTTGACTAAGGCGGGAAGAAGGATTTATAAACAGATGAATTTGTTAAGGGATAAGGCAGAAAAAGTGCAGCGATGCTCCAGTCCCAGATAAAGCAGGGGGGCTTCAAACCTTCTCTTTAGTGGAGTATATGTAACCTTCCAGATTGTTTTTCAGTTCTGCCGTGCGCCTTCTCTCAGAGTCCTTTCGATCAAGCATCTCCAATCTGATCTTAGCTTCAGAATAAGATTCTGTAGAGAGTACTACTTCGGGCCCCGCAGTTTTGTCCATTATCTGCACACCTCACCGAAAAAAGATGTTTTCCATAAATAAATTAAGATGAAGGAAAAGAGGCAATTATTCTACTGCTATATATAATGTATATACGCTTTCAGAGCTTGTTACCTTCAGGGGAACTCGAAAGGTACGCTTCTTCAATTTTTTCTCCATAGATACCTCAACAATGGGCTGTGTTTCATTTGCATTTGATGGGCTATCAACCTTGCCTTGACCATCTGAGTTTTCCCTGATCTCCTCAGTACTGTTTCCAGAGCTCACATCAGCAGTCGAATTCAACTCACTAACGGTTGCGTTTTCCAGAGTCAAATTCTTCTTGGGAACCTCGATCCACTCAAAGTACTCGATGACAGCCTCTGCTCGGTCTAATGAAATGACACCACTTCTGCTCAGAGAAAAGTGCAGATTTGCCTTGATAGGAGATGACAGATTCTTGGTCGAATACCTAGCAAAGGCATTATAGATCAATGTCAGCAATCTCACTCCCTACTGATATGAAGGTGTTAACTACTGAAAGGATCACAAAACTCACTTCTCACTTGCATCTGTCAGGCCAGACACCCCATACTGTGTAAATTTGTGAGAAGAAACCCCTCGTGGAAGCAAATCCGTCTTCTCATAACCAAGTGAGACTTCAAAATCTTTGCTGTGTTTAATAGACTTGAAGGCCTACACATGTATAGTCAGCATAGAACTGAAAGACTAATAGAAAACTAGAGGGTCAAACGGGAAACGACTAGTTACCTTGCTAGGGAGCTTCTTCATCCGCGGCACAAGTGACTGTTCAGACCTTTCATCTTCACTAAGATCAGGGCCATCTAACTGAATCACAAATCCGTAAGAGGAACCGTCTATCATCCCAAGCTTGCGGTTCAACTTGATGCCATCGCTTATGTTCGCAGCATGGAGTGCTGCACCAAGCACTATAGCCTCATCAGCATCTAGATGCTTGCCTAGTTCCTTTTTCCCTAGAAATTCTTGTAGCTTAGCCTGCCAACAGGATGAATAATTAGATTAACCTCTTGATCAACAATGTCAAAGAAAAATTGCACACCAAGATGATGAAATTTCATGATATAACATGAAAAGAAATTCTGTGGTGTATTACAAATACTTCACTAATTGCTGGTTAATCTGACATGATCTAACTTCGAAAGTACACAAAGACAAATGCGTAGGCTGCAGAACCCAAATATGGGAATTCTATAGAGACACGTCCATGTAAAACTCTCTCAGACATGAAATCCGAGACACATCATATTTCAGTTACAGTTTCGAAGAAACTGATAGAAAGCCAATCATAGGATTCTTAAAGCATGCACTCACAATGGATCAGATCCAGGATTAGGACATCCTTCAAAAGCCCAACTCTGCATGTTAGAACTCATACCTTTATGGATCAGGTGATGCAATATATTGACATAGACTGGTCGACAATCCACTTTCAGGTTATACACAGACAGATTTTTCAGCAAGTACTCGTTGGGATATTCAACAAACACTCATATAGGCTTAGCGAAATTTCCTATGTGTGTATATGTATATATATACATATTACATCTTTTATTTTAATTTTTATGCGAGAAAAACTCTAGACTAAGCAATTTTAAATATATAGTGCTGCATGAACGCCCATTTATTTTCCAAGGTGAATTAAATTGTTTTCAGTAATCCAATCGAGAGGTATCAGTAAGACATGACATGGTTAAGAAATTTCAGTCAAATGTCAAGCAACAACATGTATCTGACTTTGTTGTTGGGAAAATATCTAATGGTCTGAAGATAGGCTTGCTGATCACATGTAGAGATTGATGAAACCACCACAGAGAATGGGACCTATATTCAACAATACGAGATAAAAGTTGATCCTTCGCTGGGGGATCAATTATAGCATGAACATCATGGACTCTATAGTAGAGAAGTTCCTGAAGTCGGATTAAACTTTCAGGTAGGTTAAGCATCACTAGAGAAGCAGATCAGTGAATACTGATTAGTCAAACACTCGAACCAAAAAAAATAGAGATGCCTTGTCGTAAACAACCATTTACATCCAAAAAGCTGCAGAAATTGATCTTTGACGAAAACTCTCCACAGACAGGTAAAGAATTTAAAGAACACTTGTGTGAGTGAAAGTATCTAAACTAGAATTAGGAACTTTCTTGTGGAAGGTGGCTATCAGCTCCCAGAGAACTGAAATAAATATGAGACAGTAGCCTGAGTATTACAGTCAATTGCAATGGCTGTCAACACTTGATAGTTGTGAGATAGTTTGGTGGTTGATGGCAAAAGGATTAGACATTGGATATCAGACAATGATCAATTGAAGTCTAAAAAACGGTATTTTTTTGCTCGTTTAGTCCAAGGAAACATTTCGATGAAGATTTTTCCGGAAATTTCATGGATCATGTTCGAGAAAAGAACTGAAGTTTAAAGTTGAGGCATAACCCTACAATTTTGAATTATAGTTCGTTAAATATGTTTTTCTGAACTAGTCACTCCTAATACATAACTAAAAAATAAACCAAGTTACAAATCCCTTAAGCATGAAAGATCATAACTCAACAACCCGACTGAATTCAATCATTAAGACATATTGAGTTCATTTTCAGTCATTTCAACTTTCCGTTTTAATAGCAGCACAAAAAACTCTGTGGTCAATGAGATGAAAGGTTTTCTTTATTATCTAGAATAATTATACCTCCGCAAGGATTATACAGGCAACCTACACCAGTTATATCAGTTACAATATACCATATTTTGACTTTGACAGTCCAGCATTGAAGTGATTCATTTCCTTGATAATTATATTGGATGGAACCTCAAGTAAATGAAACATGCAGATGTTATAATCTTCTATACTGCTAGTATACTGATACGTCAAATCAAGTAGCATGAACACTTTCGCAACTATAATTTTTAGCATAAAATGCTATGCAACTAGAGAATCAATAGAAATATCAATATAAATGATACCTGTAATTTTGGCACACGAGTTGCTCCGCCAATTAGTTCCACTGCATCTATTTCATCAAGTTTCAAACCCGAATGCTCAAGTACCTCTTTTACTGGAACTACTGCCTGCTCCATGATATCTGAACAAAGTTCTTCGAATTTCTCACGAGTTATTGTGCTCCTGGTAATACAAATAATTATTCAGATTATTGTTTAGTTACATGAGAGGACTTCAAAACTCTGTGATGGCATTATTAAACAATCTTGAGCGGCAAGAACCTTAAAATCCTCTAATCTCTTCTGAGTTATTATTTTAGCGACATGATGCTTGATCTGGTACTAGCTGGGCTGTGGCTGGGTGTATTCTGGGCCAGGGGTGTTCCTACTGTGACATATTTTATGGTCAAGTACATAAAACTGTAGAGTATGGTGGTGTAGATAGTGATACAAGAAGTCACCAAATGTCAAACTCAGCCAATTCCGTTTAAGGAATAAAAGTCCACTTTTCTAATAAGGGAAGGCATAAATGACGTACGAAGCAGTTAAAACGATGTGATCATAACTGATCATACAGGACCACCAGAGGACAAAAACCTGAGAGGATCTAGATGTCAATATTTTGAATGCCATGAATGTTTTAAGCAAAGGAACAAGAACTGGGCAGGAACATACTTTAAAGACCGTACTGCATATCAGTTCTAAGTGGATACTAGACTACTACGGAACCTTTCAGATTCGGCTAAGATTGACTTACTTAAAGTCATGATCATCGTAGAGAGATTCGACGGATATTGGAGCCGCAGTGTTTGCACTTAAAATTTCCTTTGTACGCTTGACCTGCTTCTTTAATTTAGCCATAGCCTTGGGGGACTTCCTGACATCAAAACTGTTGCCTAGTTTTTTATTAAACTCGTCAGCAAAATGCTCGACAAGACGTGATTCCATAGTCATTCCACCGAGTTCAGTATTCCATCTGACATCTTTAACCTGAAACGATCAAAGTATAAAAAATATTAAGACGTCTACTCTGGAAAAGGCGAGACTTGAAGACCATCAGCCATAGAGGTGCCCTTTTATTCAGGTCTCATTTCAACCGGGCATAATAACATATTACGGCCACTTTTAAGTTCTCCGTTCTCGATACTACCACGCCATAATAATAAAATTTCATCGACCACTTTTAAGGAAGATATAAACAAGAAAGAAAACTATAAACAAGGAGAGAATCGCTTACCTGAAACTGATTAACCGAGATCGTCTTGCCGTACTCCTTCGCCTTGTACGAAGAAAAATAAACCAACGCAGCGTAAGTACTACCTGAGCCCATGTCATAGAAAATGACATGTCTCGACTCATTGCTGAAGTCCTTGTCGATGCCATACTGCAATGCAGCACCAGCATGCTCATTGATAAGGCCCAGCAATTTGATCCCAGCAAGCTGCGCCGCCTGCATCACTGCCTTCCTCTCAGCCTGACCAAAGAAGGCTGGCACGGTGATCACCGCATCCAATACTGGAACTTTCGCTTGGGACTCCGCGAGGTTCTTGGCGTAGGCGAGGATCATCGCCAGCAGCTCCTCCGTTGAATACACGGTCGCGTTTCCATCGTCAGTCCGGATCCCTGCGGCCCCCCTCGAGTCCTCCACCAGATCGAAGGATTGGTACGCGGCCTCCACCTTCCCTCTAACACACCCGTGTGGTTTGCCTACCATGTCCCGGACGGAGGAGTACACCTTCTCCGGGTACCGAGCGGCGATCCCAGCGGCCTCCTCGCCGACCAGGCGCTGGCCCCCGCTGAACGCAACCAGCGCCGGGGACTTGCGCTTAGACATCTCATTGATGGCAACGGAGATCGGGGGCTGCCCCGGCTTCAGGTTGACGACGGCCACTTTTAGCCACTCTGATCCTAGATCTATGCTTGCGACGGCGGATTCCGCAACGGGAGCCGACGTCATCATCACCGCCAGCACTACCAGGAGCCATCCGGCGGCCGCCGCCGGCCTCATACCTCCTCCTACGCCGCCGTTCCGCAGCCGATGATCCTCCTCGAGAGCGAGAGGCCGCCTCCGAGTTTCCTCCGCCGAGAACGGGAAAGAAGAACCGGACGACTCTCTCAAGAACCGCGAGCTTCCAAGGTTTTATATTTTTTCCACAGTTTATATGCCCCCTCTCACGCCAAAAAAAGCGTCATCGGGGAGGATCCACCCACTAGGAGGGCGCCACCTGGTTCAATGACACGTGGTAACATCGCTACCACCCGGATGCGCTGGAAGCCGAAGGGCCGTCGATTTTGGGTTAGTCTACGGCCGCCGCCGTCCAAAACGGGTCAGAATACCGAAATGGATCCAATTTGGCCCGGAGAACCAACGAAAGCCCAATAATCTCACAATATCCAACTTTCGGCGTTCCTCATTCACCACCGTCCGATCAGTGGGGCATCCAGATCGTCGAGATCAAATCTCAGCCATTCATACTTCCCAAGTTCCATCCAGATCGTATTAGAATGGCATTTTTCACGTTACATCCCTATACGATAGATCTGGCCTATCCAACACCGACTAAAAAAAGCATCAGATCCACGCACAAAAAGAAAAGATTGCTGGGTTTATTGATAAACTACTTCATTTATAGGGATATAACGTGAAAAATGCCATTCTAATACGCAACAAGTAAGAAATTCTAGGCCTAAGCCCAATAAGAGGGGTAACATTATCCCTTACATTGTGGCAATTATTGTCTTTGTCACCGCATATTGGTAATTAACTAGGGCCTCTCCGGACAATAAGATTAGCCCAGTTGAGCACGCAACGGGCCAAAGTCTGGGTCTACCTGAAACCTGCGTAGTCCACGTCGCAAGGAAATCAGACGGCTCCAGAAGCACCGAGAACGGCCCCCGGCTCTACGGAGGATTATCAGGCAGCCAGAGCTCAATCCGCCGCTCACTGGCCGCCGTCGACGCTCTGGAGGAGCCACCCGCCACCGCCGGCGACGAGGACGACGGCGGACCAGAGGAACAGCGACAGAGACAGCGGCAGAAGTTTGCAGACGCGGTAGCTGAAGGTGGCCTGCAGCGTGGTGCCCAGCACCAGGACGGCGGCCTTCAGGCGGCGCCGCCGCGTCCGGTCCGCCGGCGGCGTGGTATCAAGGAGCTTGACAGAGAGGAAGAGCGCGAGCAGGTTGAGGTAGGCGGCCATGGCGAAGGCTGACGATGACAAAGGCTCCTCCCGAGCTCTGTATACGGCGACCGGAGAGCTCGCCGCGATGAAGATGAGGGCGGCGTCGTAGGCGCTGATCGCCATCATTCTTATATCAAAGGGGAGAGAGAGAGAGAGAGAGATGAGTTCCAGACGTTTGGGCTGATTCAGCAGTCATCAATACCAAAGTTCGTAGATTTTTCATCGCGGTTCTGTAAAAAGTTCACATTCGATCAAGTATTTCGCATGCTGACCTTACTTTGAAGGAAGAAAACAAAGATTTTGTAGCTACCTTCCCAGGCGGGAAACAGCCTCCGATAAATTGTGCAGAAGAGGGCAGGAGAGGGGGTTCTATAGTGTCTACCGCCTCGGTTATGAGGGGTGGTGGGGACTGTCTACCGCCAGAAATTAACGATTTTAAAATTACTTTGAAAAAGAATAATCTTTACTTCGTGGCGAAATTTGAGATGCTCATCTCCGGGCTAGGTCGGTCGCCGACCTTGAGTCGGCGGGCCGCGGTCTCCTTCGAGCCGCCTGTTTTTGACGCTGAGAGAAGTCGGTGGTGGAGAGACAGAGGGGAGCAGCGGCGGAGGAAGCCAGACGCTAAGATCGCCGGAGACTGGGTAAGCAACGAAGCGCAGCCGGCAGTAGAGCTAAGTTGATCTTCCCTGTGGATCAAAGAGGAGCAGCGCTGAGAGTTGATGCAGCAGAAAGCAAGATGGGGTGAAATACAGGTTCTTGTAAAATTTTCTGCACCTACTTCTTTTAAATCGTTCCAGAGGCCGACGTAAGGCCTTACACACTTACTACTCCAATTCCTTCTCCCTCCTACTCGCTCCCTCTCCTCGCTACCCACAGACGTTGGTCGGCCATAACACGACCCGCCTTGGTCGGCTAGAGGAAAGCAGAGAACGTCATGCGCAAGCTACTTCTTTAATGAGAGAAAGAGGGGGTGAGACGAGGGGCAAGGGAACAATACGTTCACAGAGAGAAGGGCAGGCCTCAGTCGAAAAGACAAGCTTGTGAAGTCAATTTTGTTGTAGAGAGAGAGAAAGAGAGAGAGGAGAGAGGGGAGAGGAACGCTATGTTCTCCCTAAAGTCCTTGTGATGCCTGTATAGGCTTCAACCTCGTCCCACGGACCTTCAGAGCGATCATAGCTTTCCGATCCCCCAGTAGACAAGCTTCCTCATCAGGCAAGCCTCCGACGTAAGACCAACAGAGAAAGAGAGGGGGAAGAGAGAACGAAAGGAACGATATGATCCCCCTGATAGCCTGTGTGATCCCCGTATAAGGCTTCAACAGACGGCCCTCTTCCTCTTCAGGGAACCCCCTGGGGTACGACCCATAAAGAGGAACAGAGATCGAAAGAGAGATCGAGAGAGAGAGAGAGAGAGAGAGAGATTTTGGGATGGGATCAAGAAGGCTCATATAAATAGGCCTCCGAAGTTTACTGAACCCTTCAGCTCCCTCTACCTGACCTTTGAGCTCCACGTCTTTCAACCTTCCCAGGCCGTTATGGCTCGTCTCCATCTTAATTCATTGATATCCCCGAACGGCTCTCAATGTCCACTGAATTCCTGAAGACTCCATCAACTCTTCAGGAGGAGCGTCGGCAGGATGGGCCGGGCCCGGCACAGGCGCTGCCATTCGTCTACAAAAGGGGCCGAGGGCCACACCACTCCCATCCAGAGAGAGTCCTAGGCTCCAGAATCAGATAAAATTATAATAATTCAAGAATTAGGTGAAAATACTAATTCAGAGCTCTATAAAATTTGTATATAATTGCTGAGATTATTTCCTTCTCAACTTCTAAATAGCCAGTAAGTTAACAACATTAAGTAGAATAATGACCAAGATAATAACCTTAAGTGAGACTTATCCCGCCTCCTCGAGCTCCACTCTTACGAACTGCACCTCCTCCCACCACAGGGTGGTTTACGGCGGCCGACGGGGTGCGCCACTTCTCGTTTCTCTCCCCAGCGAGCTTTCCGGCGAACATCTCTCTCGTTTCCCCTCCGCCCAATCTACGTCAAGATGAGCTGACCATGATTTTCTTTTGGAAAAAGTTCAGAACGAAGCACAAGGATGAATTTCAACGGCCACTTTCCAAAATCGGTCTATTACTTGGTGTAAAGATCTTCCAAATACCCATTCAAGGTACTAAAGATGGGTAGAGAGAGAGAGAGAGAGAATGAGCACAAACCTTCTACACGGTTCTAATAACTTACCTCAATAGCCGCAGAGAGTCAACCAAGGTAAAAATACAAGGTATAATGCACTTCCCTTGAGAGTAAAGCCACCTATTCTCTTTCCTCTATACGTCAAACAAGAACAAACTCCAATTGACCAGTCCAGAGGCAGCCTAAGGCCAGAACACCACTCGATACAACCATCTAAATTAAATGGTTTTAATGATCCAGGGGCCAACCAAGCACTTACATACACAGCACTTGAAAGGTCTGATCATAAGATCACCACCTAATTTATAAAGATATAAACCAAGAATTAGAGGGAAATTAAATGAGTATTGAGAAGGCTATACACCTGGGCATAAGCAAGAATGACAAAGAACAAAACAAGCAGAGGAAGGGCGGCACTCTTTGAAGGGGAGTCGGGGACAACCCAAGCCTGCTCCAAGACATTAAAAGGATAATTGTGAAAATTTACAGGGGACCATACAAAAAAAAATCAGCATCATCATCAGTAGATCGACAAAATTACATGCCCTGCCACCTGCAAAGCTTGGAATCTGAGATTAACAAGAAGAAGAAGAGGAAGAAGAAGAATGCTCAATAATCCAACCTAACTATAGAGCCACGAATAACTATATAAAGCAACTTGAGCAAAGGAATAGAATAAATGGTCATGTGATTTCATGCAAGCCACGAATGACTTCTAACAAATAAGATTTAATGATTATCCTCTCATGAAAGGGGAGCTTTTATCTTCATGCATCATATGCAGATGGGCTTGATGTCATTAGGCCCAAAGTTCGTCACACAGACCAAGCATTTGTGATGGTGGCTCTTGATCATTCTTTGAGCACATGGGTTACTCGAATAGATGTAGCACTTAGTAATGACCACCTGAGCCCAAGAAGAGTAATCAAAATTGAAGAAACAGATGATATTAAATACTAGAAACCAGCAAAATGATGTATATTTCTAACGGATGAAATACCAAAATTCTATATCTACCAAAATTAAAATAAATAAAAACAGAGTTATCATGAACTAGTGAGAGAATAGAACAACCATACATCTAAGATTTGTTAAAAAAAACCATAGATGGCCAGGCTCTTGCATACATCGCATTTTGGTATGGCCTTGTACTCCTTGACTTCCTACTGGAGCTTCTCTAGTTTCTGAAATCATGCTTACATGACTCCTCGATACTTGAAGAGCCATTTTCCTTCTCTAGAGGAGTCATGTAAGCATGATTTCAGAAGAGCCATTTTCTTTCTCTTGACTTCTACATTCTCATCTATTCTATTGTTCTTTAGTATGATACATACCACAATTTGATTAAATTCGAAAACGGATAATATCAGAACCCAATGAAGAGAAAAAAGCAGCAATCTCATACCTCTCCTCATCCAGGTTTGTCTGAAGCATTGAAATATCCTTCTAACCAGCTTCAACCTTGAGGATGATTCCTCAACAGATTTTTTCAAATTCCGTGAATCTCTCTCCATATCCAATACATTATAGATTTAATTAAACATTTGTGTTTAGTATTATAATTACTCGAAGAGCAAAAGGTGCATGTCAACATCAAGAAATGGACTAATAGTTGATAGACTGCAGGTGAACAGTGTCAAGGTAGATGGGGTGATGAATTGTTCATCTCCCACTAATCAACGAGAACTTATAATGATGTTTCAAATTGGAATCATAAAGTATAAATGACCTTCCATCTGCTTAACCAAGATATGACATCCTCCAGGTACATCTAGAGCACCAAAAATAGTTACTCGAGATTTTAGTTTTTGACTTTACCAAGTGATATGGCCTAATCATTGTATAATAAATCATATAGCTTTAAAATTTATAAAACTTGAAAAGACTAATTTTGAGACTTTTAGAAATATTTTGGTATAATTAAATCAATTATTACTCAATAAAAGGTTTCAAAATAATAAAAAAAAATAAGTTGATCACAAGGATTTAGGAAAATATTGAGTAAAATTATAGAATAGAGCACTATTGTATAATGAAGATTAATTATGTGATTTAAATAATTCATGATAATTAATAATAGAAAAATAATATTTTAATTACTCAATAGCCTATCATTAGTAATTAATATTGAGTAATTAAACTATTGTATAATGTTGATTAATTATGTGATCACAAGGATTTAATAAATATAATTAATAATAGAAAACTAATTTTTAGGCTTAAAATATATTATTAATTATTTATTAACTCATGATAATGAAGATTTATTACCAAATATAATGTAACTACATAAAATAAGAGAGCTCACATTTTTTCTAGACTAGAACACCCTTTCTTAATACAAGCCAAGATAATGGTTGCTTTGAACATCTTTGACAAGCACAATTATAAAATTATTTGATGATAGTTGCCCTTACAAAATAGAGGAGGTGATATTACTAGGATTGAATGACTAGTCAAAGTAAAATTGCATCAAGGCATCCTTTTAGATCAAAGATCAATTAGTTCTTCCCCACACCTTAGGAGTGAAATAGGGCATCAAAACTTACATCTGACAATATCATATCTACCAAGACAACAAATGTGAAGTATCAACAATATCATATCTACCATCCTCTTCTAATTCTTGACCAAGTTTGAAAGGATGCAGGGGGGAGGGAACGCTGTGATCTCTCCGAAAGCCCGTGGGATGCCTGTACAGGTCTCAGAGAGATCTCAGAGTAGACTGCCCTCTTTCTTGTTCATCAGGCGAGCCTCCGACGAATGGGGGATGCTGTGAAACAAAACATTTTGTTGAGAGAGAGAGAGAGAGAGAGAGAGAGAGAGAGAAGAGAGAGATAGGGCGGAGGGAACGCTGCGATCTCTCTGAAAGCCCGTGCGATAACTGCACAAGCCTCACCCTTCCTGGTTCTCTCGGGCTTTCA